TGGGTTGGAAAAGGAGAGTTTTTGTTGAAGCGCAGAAGCACCCTCTACTTGCTTATCTCTATTACATGTTGTGTATAAAATAGTAAAATCTCTTTACAATAGCATTTTAATTTTGTAAAAGGCAATTTTAATTTTTTCGTACTTCATCCCTAAGGAATAGAAGTTAATAGTAGATTGCTTTCTTATCATATCACATAAGGAAATCTTTCAGATGTTTGTGGAAAACTTCACTGCTTTATTTTAGAAACACATATTTCATATGCAAAGTTCTGGAAGCCCAGTAATTATATTTGGTTTCTCTATTCATGCACAAATAACTTTAGCGTCATAAAAACATACAATTCAAATTAGTTATCGAACATTTTTCATTTTTTGAAGGAATTCCTAGCATCGAATACGTCACGTTGATTTGTAATTTCATGAAAGAGAAGTGAGTGCTTGAAAATGAAAAAAAAAAATAATTTTGCTGTCTATGTATCGTCCATTATTAAGTACAGTAGCATTATTACATTACTCTAATTTATTTATAAGTTACAACAAAGATTACTGCTCGACATAATAATCAAATAATTATACTGAAACAAAACGAAGAATTATATTTCGCTGATAAACTAGATAATGCATTTAATAAACTAGATAATGTCTATAAACTAAATAACATATTTAATAAACTGATTCCTATTTTTTACCGATTGATGCCTGATATTTCTAAATGCTAAAGATTTTACGACATAATGGTTTTGGTTTATATTTTAAGCTTTATTATTATTTTGAAAATGTTTTCTCAAGATTTAAAGTTAAATCCATAAAAATAATTTTGATGCATATTTATGTAAATATTTATCTTTTAAACTATTATACATCTTTATACTGTTATTTATCATTTATATTTAGGGCCCACCAGCGGACGAGCGGTAAAGTAGCTGAACACTGGTAGTTCGTCCGAGGTTCGAATCCCGCGAACGGGCTGGCTGCATGGGCGTTTTCGGGGTTTTCCCCATGTGTAACGTGTATACGAGCCAGTTCCTCTTAGAAAGTCCTCCACGAAGGCATCCCTCCCTTTAGGCAGACAGCCCTCGAGGCTTTGCCATAATCACACACACATTTATATTTGTTTTAGTGCATTTTATGTAATAATTTCACTTTGTCCTTTTAATATGATTGTAGATGTTGTTTTCCTTTGCTATTTTGTGGGTCTTGTAATTCTGAACTGATCGATGCTTGAATTAAAAATAGTTCAGTTAGAACCCAAAGTATGTTAAAAAACTTTAATAAAATCTCGGTAAGAAACACAAATAATCTCTGAATCATCAATGTCGCTAAGTGTTTTCGAAATTCAAGGGCCGATTTGTTTCAAAATTACTAATTCGCACACATTTCATAAATTATTTTTACATGTCCCTAGTTCTGCATGATTTTGTTCTTAAAAAATGTTTTCTGTTTTAAAAGCGAACTTTACCTGAAGTTATTATCCACATATGTATTCTTTAGTGAAATTGCACATTTATGTAATTTACGTATCATTTCTTTTTCAGAGGGCGGGGGAATCTGCATGTACTTTTCCCCCTGCAACTTATTATTACATCATATAGTTTACGTGTAATCTGCAGAAACTATTCTACAGTATTAGAGATCATGGTTGTGTATTCACAACTATTGAACATGCACGTTATCATTCCCTTTCCCATGCCATTTCTCAACTTCCCGACTTTTCTATCTCTTATATTGAGTCTCTGGTTACCAGCCTAAGAGTCAGACTTTACTTCTAGAACATTTTCACGTTTCGATAATTAAGCTGTTTGCTTACTTAGTTTGCAGGAAAAGTATACTTCTTTCTAATAATTAAGTATACGCAGAATTGGCAGCGAATACTTTCGGAGACTGATCAAAAGCATTTTTTAGATGTAATGTCAGTTTTCTGCACCATATGCAAACACATATTTTTTACATGCATTTTACTAGCCTACGAAGATGAAGCCTACGACATCGCTTTGTATTGCATTCAAACTTTTAATGCGATATAAAATTTCTGTGCAATGTAGAATGCACATTCAATGTATGTTATATTGCACTGAAAGATTAGACAGCGGCTGACGCCAATAAAAACATTTCAGCAACAGATTCTTACAAACGTAGTAATATTTTAACTCCAAACTGAGTTTTGAGACAATAAAACACTTAATAACCATCAGCATTCTATAAACTCCTTCTCATTTCTTTATCCACTAAAGAAAATGGCCGTTTCATGGAAAGGGAAGAAACATTAGTGTGAAAGTTTGAAAAATATATTAATTGTTAGTGAAAATAAAATAAAACATATAAATGAACCATACTTTTTGAGGAAGTATCTACTTTCTTTCTAATATATTTCAATGCGTTTATTTAAATTGACATATCTTAAAAAATGTGTTATTTAATATTATATGTCTAAAGGCATAACGAAATCTCACAGGAAATTACTGAAATCCCCATGTTTATTAACACTGCAGTAAAAATTTTAAAAACTAAATAGAAAACTTCCAGTTTATCCGATTTATTTGAATTTCCCTTCTGGTTCCAAAATATTCTCATATTTCGGAAGAAGTTAAATCCATAAAATAAATTACGCAAAATATAATTTAATTTACGCAGTTAAGAAAAATGCATTTGCTCGTAAACATTTGCAAATTTGAAATGCAGAATTGGGCTACAGTCATGCATTGCGCTTAATTTAACGTGTCAAATTTCATAATTTGTAGACTACATTCTTGCTTAATGGGAGAACCTAAATCATTTTGATTAGAATCATAAAAATGAAAATATCTATTTAGTTTCGCGAGTTAGATTTCAGTAGCAGAATTTGCATTTGCTTCAACAACCATGTGTATAAAATATCAACTCCACGAATAAGCTATGATAACAGCTCTTTCAATAGAATAATATATTTCTAGCTCAAAATAAGGCTGTTTATTTCTTATTATTGTAATTCATTTAAAAAAATACTTTTAATAAAATGCGATAAAATTTATTACTGTACGCCAGTTTTGTATTAAAGACAAATTCATTTATTTACGTAAATAATTATAATTTAAAGAAATTTATGGCTTGTTAACTAAGTATATCAGTAAAAGAATAATTGATTATTTATTTTTCTTTCTGTTACACTGATTTCCTTTAAAGTACAATATTTGAAAATACGTGAAAGGAAAAATACGCTTATTTTTTTCTGAGCTTCTACAGTAATGTAGCAAACATACGAGTATAAACAATAAAAAAATATTATATGTAAGCATTAAATCAGATGTTGTGGACTATTAAGACCGATACCTGAAGAATGAAAACAGTTAGCAGAATTTTTTATTTTTAATTTTACCTTTATTTTACAAATATATTATAACAGAAATATATTCAGGGAACTTATAGCATTCGACGGTATGGCAGTCTATATGCATATTTTATTTATGTGTCTGAATTTGTCTTATTGGATAACACATGTTGCACTCAGTCTCTCTGTGGCAATTAAATAGTCGCTTTTTGTTGAGGAGAGATCTGGATAAGTCTCTGTCAAATGCAGGAGTAAACAGCCTGTGTGTGGAGGAAACACGAGAGGGAGAGGGCAAAAGCGGTTTTGCACTGCTCTGTTGACATGTGAAGCAATGGATGCTACAAAGATATGCCTTAGCTGCAGGCATTGTAACCTCAGTAATGAATTGATGGTTGATCAAAGTTTTGTATATGCGGACTGAAGGCGAACGGAATTGTATACTCAGTAACATACTATACCGTTAATCTAGTATCACTATATCATGGGGCAGTATCACGATAGAAAACGAAGCCTCTCAACATTTGTTCCCCTTAATTCCTGTAAACAAAGTTACACCATCATGTTGCTGCAAATAAAAGCAGAGCTCGGCAGAAAGGAATGTAGCGACATTGCGACCCCCTTTTTTTACGTTGGAGACGTCAAAAATGAGCAATGCCCTGTCCGGGACTCGAACTTCGGAAATCTCGAATACGCGCCGCGTGTGCTGACTACTATACCACGAAGGCACGCTAAGAAGGCGGGAGGAACACCTTATAAGATTATGTCATGTTACGTATGAAATGGCGTGCATTTTTTAATTCACCATTGTGGGTGTTGAGTACTACGTTATGGCTCGCGTCAAGGAAAGCTTAAGCAATAAACCGCTTTGCTGACAATTAGCTTTGTCGCAGAGAATGTCATCCGTGTGTGAGCATACATGGAGTTGTTCAATACACCCAATTTTCTGACTTTCATAAGTCTATACGGGTTCCATTTTCCATACCAGTCCTTGAATCTCAACCAAAACGAATAGCAGTCCTTGGTTGATGTTCACAATAAGCCCTTGATTGCTGTTGTCACATCATAATGTATGGTACCGAGAACTGTGTACTACATCCAATTTCCTGACACTTGAAAAGACTGTAAGATGCCAAATTCTCACAATAGTCTTTGAATCACAAACAAGGCGGACAACAGGTAGTTGCGCCGTACGATACTTCCCAGTTCACGTGTAAACTATCACTTGCCCGTTGTCGCATTCGCAGCGTGTTGATCAAGTTCCGACTTCTTACATGAAATGTTGAACCATTAGCAACACAAAAAGCATTGGGTAAACTTGATTTCCGAATGAAAAACTATATTTCATTTTGAAATTTCATATTGATTCATTGCTGCAATAGGAACAAAGCGTGAAAAACCAATCATCTACCTACCACAGCATCTCCTATTTTTGAAGCAAATTTTAAGTTTGTTTCGCTCTTCCTTAATTGTAAAGTTACTAATGCTCACTAGTATTAATTTACCTTATTTTCTTAAATACGACAAAATCTCTTTCACATAGCTGAATAATGTGCCGATTTTTTTATTTGATAATCAATTAAAAAAAGAGATCTCATAAATTCTTTCAAAATAAATCCTTCTAAACATAATTAGATATTTCACTAAAGTTTGCGAACCAGTAACTTTAATTTCTACTGATCTGATCTTTCTGTTCCAGTGTTGCCATTGTGGGACTTGCATAACATGTCATTACAGAATACAACATCACGAGGAATTACTATGGATAACAAGTCTTGTCTAGTGATATCATAGGCAGAGACTACATGTGACATGCAGTATACAGTGTCCTGCAAATCTTGCACAAGGTGTTATGTTAGAGGATGCCAACAATACGTAAGTGATCTGGCACTTTATATTACTGGATTCAAATTCTTGTATGAACGCTGGAAGAACATCGAAAAGAAGTTCTAGTAATATATTTTGTAGAAAGTTTCCGCCATCCAAGCGATAGGTTAATGTACCGTTCCGAGTACTATGATATCTTGAACATTAATAGTGAATCATTCTAGGAGGCATATGATCTCGTGGTGTTTAGATTATCATGTGCCCAAAGGTTAGATTTGTTACTATTAAACATATCTGTAAGTTCGTACATAGCCTAATCTGTGAATTAGATGTACGAAGGGAAGTCAAGATTTGCTACAGATTTACTAGAGACCAATTTAACACGGAGCGGATAATCTCCCGATTTCAATACTTACACTCTATTCAAATGATATAGGTGCATTACTTTCTGAACTAAAGTCTCCTAAACCGTTGATCGGCTGACACTCATCATAAATCCAATAGCTTTTGTGCTTGATGCAAGAGCATCCTCAAGTATACATGTTACAAACTCTTCTACCGCGTGAGATTCTGCGATACATTCACTTGCTATCATAACTCCTGAAAGTATGGGATAATCCATTGTCGCTTAGCTCATCGTTTAACATTTGAGCGCTGGCCATTCGGTAGCTGTTTGCTTCGAAATCTTTCTCTAGCAGCTATTGCATTACAAACGGAGCCCGTTGCACCTAAAATGCATGTCGTGTAACGAAGCATGTAGCTGAAAATCTTTACTGCTAATGGACTGCTCACCTTTGGGCAGCTTTCGGCTAACGATCTCAGCAGCGGTCTCTAAGTCAGAGCTTCATATCTGCTTGCACATTACTTGAAATATGCTTATTTCTGTCCCCTCTACTTGCACTACTACTTTTTCTATCTATGTTGGATTTCCTTTTGTAGTCTGCTTTCCTTTCACTTAATTTAATAGAATGCAAACTTCATACGGTCACATAGTCTTAGTATGAAATAGGAAAGAAATTGCGAATAATTGAGAGCAAATCGTTTATATATGCTTCGCAAAAATTAAAGCCAAATACAGAAAAATTTTTAATTCACATCAGATCCCAAATTTTCTATATTGAATGCCCTTTAGCATTTTTATTGAATTCTGTATAAGTTCGCATTTTTAAAAACTTTCAAACTGTTGGTTCGCTCATACCCACAGTGAATTCAACAATTCTCTTGCTCATAACAAAATTATCCTCGAATGTATATTACGTTCGAGGATTACTTATCCTCAAAGTTATCCTGAGACATCATCAGAGTTCTCGTCAAATATACGTTGCCCATTGTGATTTTATTTTCAAAACAACGCTTATTTAATTTTCATTATTTTGTTTACTTTATTTTCAATATGATGTTCAGGATTTATGAAGTAACTGTTTAAAATTATGTTTATAGAGATTGTTTTGTCTAAAAAGCCGTTGAGCAAAATATACTTCGAAAATAGTAAAGTGCACCATAAAAGTCTGAAAACAATATTGTATGTTATCTATCTTCAAATAAAGCAAAATGTTAATAAAACAAATGGCATTTTAATAAATTAAAAATTACATTTATATTTCTCACAAACATTTTATTTTCAGTTTTTTTAAAAGTTCTTTACTTTTAGACCAATTCATACGCTTCCTCGCGCAAGCTGTAGTTCGATATTTAAATGAAATTTATATGTAACATCTTGCTCTAAGTAAATGAAATAAATTTTAGACTCCAGGATTTTCCTCAGTTTTAATAAAAAAAATTTAATGAGACTTGATTACTAAGTTACAGAAACATTCTAAGTTATGGATGGAGTTTTCTTTGACATACGTATAACAAAAGGATTAACAAAATAGAAAGCTATCAGAAATATTCTGCAGGATTTCGTACCTGTATAAAAGATTTACGATAGTTGTATTTGATTAAATATTGGATAGAATTACCTATTAGATTTGAATAATATATTTAATATCCCCACGTTAACTAAACATGTTTGCTAGACGTTAACTAAACATGTTTGTTAACTAAACATGTTAAAGCCGTAGGATCACTAAAGAAACTGTAAGTATTTTTCAAAAATCAGAAATATTTTAGGTCCTAGAATTACATAGCATTAGGAAAAATGGGCACTTGATTAAAAAGACATTTAAACATATACATTATTTAAGAAGCCATATAATACTTCGCAAATATCGAAATTTTTTAAAAATGCTTATTTTAACTTCTGTTTGATTGCTAATTTAATTAAGAATACAGCGAAGCTGTAAGTGTTGGGGGAAGATAAACACTTGTAAGTTAGAGTAAATAATTTGCCCATTTGTCTCACAATGTTCCTCCAAATTAAAAAAAAAAAAAAAAAAAAAGTTATGAAAGCTAATAACTTTAACGTACGTTCATTGAACTTAGCCAATGCAAAGCAAAAATTTCAGTTTCTGATGTTTGAACTTTTAAGTTTCAGTTCAGGCATTAGTGAATGCGCAAGAAAAGCGCTTAAACTTTGGCGTCTGAACGAAAATCTGGTGAATGATTAGCTATTTTTACCTTTATTTCGCCTAGTGGACCTCGTGGCTCTTATCAGTCGCTCTTTAACCGGGGTTCATGTAAGGGATAATCAAATTTTCCCGTACGAGCTCTCGCTGTAAACGATTATCACATCAAGCCACCAACCTTGAAGATCTATGGATCAAATTTATATGCGGGCTTATATGATTTCTGGTGGTTAGATCTCCAAGAGAAGCCTGATGTTGCTTCCTATGGCATATAAGCTAAAATGTGGTGGGCACTAACTCGTGTTACGTGGATTTCGTTAAGCAGTTATTGCGCCTCTCCTCAGTCGCGCTTTAGGTGGAAAACAATGTTATCAACCCGTGAGGGTGTTTGTGGTTAAGCGTTTGTCCCTTTCATCAAACAACTGCAAGATCGGTGGTTCGGTCGTTTGAATGTCAATTGATTTATCAGACTTCTGCTCCAAAAACACGTAATATTTTCTATAAATATTTTCTTAAATACACGAAACAAATTGAATGCTGCCTATTATTTGCCAGTACAAGCAAAAGTTTAATTAGTGTCGAATGCTTGCTTAAGCACTGTTTGTTTTGCTCCTGGAATAAATAATATTATTTATGTGTGAATTTTGTATCAGCATTACCATTACAAAAATATTTTATTTTCCTCAAAATAAAGAATACAATTATTTGATTCTAACTTTAAATGAATATTTTCGCTTTATTCTTCCTAAATTAGTATCTGGGCTGCATGTTGCAATACTTTCTTCCCAATTCCCACTTCTCTAAGAATTCCTGAGAAGATTACAAGATTTTATCTCTGATTTTGAAAATACAATGCGAAGTGCAAAAATAAATGCGAAGAATGTAACGAACTGTTAAAAAAATGTTTTATTTTAATCAGATAGAAGAAAAGATTTCATTCGCAGTATAGAATTAAATTTAGCATAATCACAAATAGTTGCAACTCCACAGCTCCTTAAACGATAGTACTATAGATTTCTACAACATTCCTTTTCGTTTTCTTCTCGGCATAACTTAATAACATATCTGATTTCGATAAACAAGGAAGTCTTGTTGTGTTTGAGAAAGGAAAGGAACATTTGACTTTTTTTATAAGAAATAAAAGAAATGTTATGCAAATTACAGAGCTTTGGGTCAGAGAAAAGTGAAACAGAACATATAATCAAATAGTATTTTCCATGTTTATTAAATAATGATTCGTTGCTCCAAAAACACGCATGCTTTGTAACTTCTTTTTGAACTAATATATATCACGTTGAGCAAAATGTTAAAATCAAAACACTCGGGAAATGAAAACCAAGCAAAGCATTAAGAGAAAAATATATAAATAACACATACTTATTCTGAAAACTTAAGATGTTTTACTCCATATTTAAAACTGTCTCCTCGAATTAATTCCTAAAATATTCATTAGACATTATTCTGAACAAAACAAAATCTATTTCCTGCGTCACGTCCAGGAAATAGTTTTAAATATTTAATATAAACCCTATAATGATTTTACAAATGAAGGTAAGCATAATAGATATAAAAAGCTAAAATTATTATTATATTTTTATTTATTTATTGTCTGAAATTTTATTGCAGGTGAGCTGAATGATTTTGGTAACTTCTAGTAAGGCAAAGATTTGCAAACGAAATACAGCGTATAAGAATACAATAGAACATAGAAGACTCAGATAACAAAAACTCAGATAACAAAAGTTTTAAGTGCTACGAAGAAACTCTAATATGATCTCGAGCTTCCCAATATTGCTTAAATAGAAAATTCTTCTTTAAAGTATGACAAAAAAAAAGGAGGTGATCGCGATCTATTAAGCCTGAGCTGCAGAGGAAACACTCATAACCTGAACCCTAGTAACATTAACATAACCTAGGTAAATTCATTTTTATAATTACCTTTTATTTAATTTTAACCTTTCAAATTTATTGTCAGGCAAAAAACACTTTGCTATGCTTAATAGTAATATTTGTCTACTAGCGTTCACTATGGTACAGCGAGATGAAGTGAAGACTCCAATGCAGACAAGCATCATCCATAAGCGTCCAACCTGTATACATTGCAAGAGTAGTTGGACAAACGTGTTTGGGTGAAACATGTTGTATCAAAATTCCAGTTATGATCAACTAAGCTCAGAACGCTATGGACGGTTGTTTGTTCTATATCTGGCCATCTGCACCTGTACCCAAATTATTCATCCGTAACGGTTACTTTCCAAGACGCTTCATGAATAAGTAAATCCAGGGATATTTAGAAAATTAATAAATTGTGCATTTAAATTTGATCAAATTTCCAAGAATAATTTAAAAACCAGTAAGTTTACTCTCGTAACTACCAAAATGGATTACTTAACTTCAGCTTTACATGCCAGGAAGGTAATAGATAAGGATTAATCATCATGGCCGATGACACAGTATGTATAACACATTCATTGGCCATTGTTCTGTTGTACGTGGTCAACGATGAAATACTTGGACATTTGATGAATTCTTTATTGTAACTCCAGTGTAAATGTAGCCCCTTTTCTATAAGCAACTCAATTACAATATATTTTAATAGCTTTGTAATTAAACTATTTATACTCGCAGTTACGTCTTAATTCAGTTAATTATAAATAATTTTATTATTGATTAATGTCAAAAATTTTAATCATTCTTTCCCTCTCATTATTTAACCAAAAGTAATTACTTATTTTTATGTGGATTTATTTGTGTCTTTTACTAAATGTTTTCTGCATCTCTCTGTATAAAATTAGCTTTTCAAAAATATATATTATAGAAAAGTGTAATGCATGTAGTATATTGTATATGAAAATAACTTTATAACTAAGCTACTCATCATATACCTCTTGCAAATTACTTTTAACCTTCTAGTAGAATAATTTTAAACCTGGATGCCAAATATTTCGTTAGTGAGCTCTTGATTTACTTTACAAAGACACTGCCAGTTAAAGTAATAGACAAAATTAAGTCTGAATTACATTAATGTTCGATAGGTTCAATAGATTTAGTCACTCTGAATTCAAAGTGATATTCTAGGATATTATCTGAATTCTAATTTTCTGAAATCAAAGTGAATTTCATAATGTTTTAATTATAGTAAAACTTAATTCTTGACGTTGCGATAATGACTCAATGTAGTTTTAAAGATACCAATATATTGCAAAGCGCTTTATTTATTTAAAATCATGTATTCTAAGATTGAATGTATAATTTTTATCTATTTTTATTACCGAACCGTTATTAACATAAATATAATAGCGTGCAGGATTGGAAGGAACTCTTTTTGTAGAGTAAACACAGATGAAGCGGCCATGACAACAAACAAAAATGAGTTTATCAGGTTCAATGTTCCGGCTTACTTTCTTTGGGAACATGCAAGGACCTGACTCGGAACAGAGCGCTTACTAAAGCTATGTTCAATAACTGTGGGAAGTAGACAGGATACACAAGAAGGGTATACAAAACCCTTTATTTTTCTCTCTTTACAATAATTTCCGTACTTCGGAATACAAAGACCCACTACTTGTGTTCTAAACGTAAGAATATAAAAATATAACGAAACTCTAACTTAATTTTGAAATAATAAACATGGAATATTGGCCTTATATTAACAGGAAGCCGTATGTAGTACAGAGAACTGTTAACACTACAATACGTTTAAAAAATTATCACGAGGATTAACCTCTGGCCTGGAAGGCAACCAGCAACTGAGTAAAACTTCTAAGAGCGGCTGCTTCGACTAACTCCTCCTCGTGTTCGTGAGCTCTCTTTCTGGACGGGGAACGGCTTCTTTTTCTTGTTACCTTCAATTTTTCCGCGGGGAACTTTCTTTTCACTTGCTCTGCTCTTAATGGCTTGCCCTTGTACTTGTCGTTGTTCCACCTCTGGAGCTTGTGCCTGCCGTGTCTGCCGTGCCGGATCCTGCAAAAGATCTGAAAATATTTGCATTTTATTACGATCATAGTAGGGTTTTGATTTGATCAATGTTTGCGGAGCAGGTTTCACCATTTCTTGGCTTTTTAACACTACTACAGCGTGAGTTATTTTTTCTATGACATATGGTCCTTCAAATCGTGGAAAAAATTTGGCAGTTTTATCTTCTGGTGCTGAAGAAAGTGAATGCTTAATTTTTAACACTTCATCCCCTACTTTATAAGTTACTCCCCGTCGTTTCAAGTCATAATACAGCTTTTTGTTTTCTCTGTGCTACTTCAGTATTCTTTTTTGCTTCTTTAATTAGTTTTTCTATATCACCCATTTTAAATTCTGGGGCTCTTTGTTGCACATAAAATAATTTATCTAACGGCGTTATAATCTTTCTGCCTAAAAATAACTCAGCAGGAGTTTTGCCCGTTGTATCATGTTTTGCGGTCCTAAGGGCGAAAGCAAATTCATTGACATAGTTATCCCAGCTTTTATGAAAATTTTTAACATAACTACGGATAATTTTCACTATATTTCTATTGACCCGTTCCGCTATATTTGATTGCGGCCGATACGGGACCATTTTTAAATGACGTATGCCCAGTTTTTGGCACATGTCTTCAAATATATTACTTACAAATTGAGGACCATTATCCGATATAACTTTTAGGGGCGCCCCGTATTTTAAAATATATTTATTTAAAATAGAATCAGTAACTAATTTCGCGGAGGCTCGTTTTAAGGGAACAATTTCGGTCCACTTACTAAAATGATCAACCATAACAAGGAGATAGCGACTTTTATTTAACTGACTTTTTGGGAAAGGGCCCAATAAATCGATGCCAATTATTTCATTTGGAAATTCGGATTTAATACTATTTAGAAACCCGGCCGGGCGGAAATTAATATAATTAACTGCTTGACATGTTGGGCAGGACTGGACATACGCCCTTGTTAACTTTTGCAGTTCAGGAAAGTAGACTGCCTCGCGTACGCGTTGGATAGTTTTTCGAATACCAGCATGAGAAGCTAAAGGGCTGTCATGGAGCTCCTGCAGGATATTTAATCTAAGACTAGCTGGGATAACAGGTCGAAATTCGTTGTTGGAATTCGTAGTTTTTGTATAAAATAATAGACCATCTATTAGTTCGTAATGGGCCGCCCTATTTCTTATCGCCACAATATCTTGGTGGCTAAAATTTTCAGGATCCTTTCAAATACTCATAAATGCTTCCAAACTCAGGATCCTTACCCAGTTCGGTTATTACAGTTTCTCGGGAATTTATTGTACATGCTGTGAGCATTGCCACCTTTACGGTATTACCTTCTTCATCTATTTTAATTCTGGATAAGGCATCTGCTACGATATTTTCCTTTCCGGGGGTATGCTTGATTACCAGATTATACTCTTGTAGCTTGAGTGCCCATCTTATTAACCTTGGGGATAAGTTTTTTTCCTGAGTACAATCTAGTTACCGCCGCATGATCAGAAGTACACTGTTATTGGCGCCTTTCCAAAATAGACTCGGAACTTTTGCACTGCTAACAGAACTGCAAGTGCCTCTCTCTCGGTCGCGGAATAGTTTCTTTGTGTTTGATTTAAAGTTCGGCTAAAAAATGCCACGGCTGCTGATTTTGCGAAAGTACCGCTCCTACCGCATAATCCGAAGCATCCGCTGAAATTTCTAAATTCTCATCCTTTTCAGGAAATTTCAACACAGGGGCTTGCGTTAATGCTTGTTTTAATTTTTCGAAAGCACTATTGGCTTCGGCCGTCCACGAGAATCTTGCCTTTTTCCTTTTTAATTTTAACAATGGTTCAGCGATAGCCTGCAAAATCTTTTATAAAGGACCTATAATATGAACAAAGTCCTAGAAAAGAAGAGAGCTTCTTCGCCGTGTTTGGAGTCGGATACTTTTGTACAGCGATTATTTTTGATTCGTCTGTCTCGATTCCTTTCTGAGATATTTTGTAACCTAAATATTTTAATTCAGGGGCTGCAAATTTGCACTTTTCGACATTAACTTTTAGACCGGCCTCATTTAATAAAGAAAACACCTGTCTTAAATCCTGTACATGTTGGTCGAGATTATCACTAGTAATAATGATATCGTCTAAATAGATAAATGTGGACTTTCCAAGAACAGGCCTTAACACAATGTCCATACATCGCTGAAATGTTGCCGGTGCCCCTGAAAGGCCAAACGGCATACGCAAAAATGCATAAGTGCCAGACTTGGTTATAAAAGCAGTCTTAGGCACGTCCTCAGGCCTAACCCCTATTTGAAAATAACCAGTCGTTAAGTCTAAAGTCGTCATATATTTGGTGGATGTTATGTTCCTTAGAATTTCTTCAATAATAGGTAACGGATATACCGGATATTTAGTTATGGAGTTTAATTTACGGTAGTCAATTGCGAATCTCCACCTTTTTGGATGTGTCAAATGGATAGTCATTATTTTTCTTACATAAAACCACCGGGCTAGCATAACTACTTGAGATGGGCGTTATGATCTTTTTACGTAGCATATCGGTGATATGCCATTCTATAATTTTTTCCTTATTCTTATCATACCGGTATAGCTTTGTGGCGAACTGGCATTGAATCTCCGGTGTCAATACTATGGTTAGTAACCTGAGTAAATCCTGGAATATCACTAAATAACGAAGCAAATTCACTTACCACTTGTCGGATTCTTCGTTGCTCTTCATTAGGCAGGTGGTCAAGGTTTAACATCGGCGGTTCAGCCTTTTCTTCACGAACTGGTTTCATTGTCAGCTTAAGGGACGCTTCATTAAAATCCTAGCGTTGCTTGTGCCTCTGAAAGAAAATCTATTCCTAAGATAATATGTGCTTGCCGATTCTTTACGATAAAAGACATAACCTTTACTTGTTCGTCCTTGATACGGACATACAGCGGTAATTTACCTATACACTTACATCTTTCTCCTTGCGCCGCTAACACTGTCGTATTATCCGAATTATATATGCGGTATTTCCGAAAATACTTCCTAAAAAAAATCTTCTGCCACACAGGAACACTGCGCGCCTGTATCCAGGAGTGCGGTGGCTGGGATATTATTCACCAACACTTCAATCTTCGGAAGAGTCAAATTTTTCACCATTACTGTATTTAACTTGAAGGAAGAGGGGTTTTCGTGGCCTTCGGATTTCCGCACCCTCCCGTCAGCAGAAATCCGTTTTAGTTTAAATTATTTTTCATTTCCGTGCTTTCCTTCTTTTTCCACTGGCCTTGAGACTTTTTTCCTGGATTGCTATTGAACTGTCGACGTTCGCCGGCTGTTTTTGAATGCTCGGGTTTCCTTGCCCACTGATTCGCTTTGCTTCCGTAGCCGTGTGCTTGAGTTTGCTGTAGTCTTGGCGCACCAAATTGGTTTCGCTGTTGATATTGGCGTCTTCTTTAATTGTCCGCCGTTCTTCTACTTTCAAACTGGATTGCTAGCTCAAATAACTTTTCCAGTGTAGTCGGATTTCTTAATTCAATAAAGTCTTGCACTTGGGGCAGTAACCTCGGCAAAATCACTTGAATTATTTCAGGATCCGGACGGTTTCCATACAAGAGTTTGAAGACGTGAATTTTTTTCTTAAAATAAAGCTTGAGAGATTTTCGATTCTTTGTTGATATATGCTGAAAAGT